AGTAACTGTTCACATGTTATCGTGGATCTGCTCAATATTTGCTTATTATTTCGCAAAACTTATTGGTAACTGAACAACTCTCCTAATCCTAGGATCTCTTTCTTTGCTTCTAAAACACAATATCATTTTAAGAGACTTGGTCTGGTATATGTAGGTGGATCATTCATGCTCCTGCATGCGAAATTGACCCACGGAGAGTAATGACCATGGCGCTGCACTTCGCGCTGGGTCGCGCCGAAGTTGATCATCTTATTCTTCAAGCTTTGATTTGAGCGCTCCTTTCTAGAACCATTACGTTTCCCTTGATGTGTTGTTTGTGGCTAATAGTCCTTTCTTCGATTCTTTAAAACAAGGTTTGCTAGGATGAATGCCGCAAACCCGTGGGAAGTTTCGATTGCGGAACATCAAGCTAATTGCGCACAATTTGCGTCCCTCTATCCTCAGAATGGTCGAATTGATGGAAATACAGCAAGAAATGTATTAATGAAGAGTAATCTGCCACCTCAGTTGTTAGCACAGGTGGGGATTTTTCAACTGTTTTATTTATTTATTTGAATGGTTCCATTTTTTCGCTAGTTCTTTCATTTTATCTTCCTTTTTTCTTCTCAACGTTTTCACGAGAAACATCTTCTATCTATCATAAGTTTTATCTAATCAGCAGTTTGACTGTGTTCCAGTTTTTCAATGAAAACCGTTCTCTAGTCCCTCATTGCTGCAAATATGTAGGGTTAAATGGAATTAGATGTAGTAAAAAGCACTAGGGACCTTGAGATGTCCTATTTATATATCTGAACTCAATGTTCAATTTGTTGACGATACGCACAATCTTACATCATCACATGGAGAACGTTCTGCTTAGTCATGGTCAAAATGTGCGACTTAACGCATCATGATAGAACAAAGTTCTGCGATACATTGAGTGTATAGTGTAGTATATTTAACTTTTTCCAATGAATGAAGATCTCTACTGGGTGGCTTGCCAACTTGTTGTCTGTTCTGAATTGTTGAATCTTTCTTTGTTCTAGATTTGGGCCTTGTCAGATACAAATCATGATGGTATGCTCGACGCTCGTGAATTTTCCATTGCCATGCGTCTTACACGAAATTGTATCGCTGGTCTTCCGTTACCACCTGCACTACCTCCATCATTGATGCAAATACCTGCTGGTAGTGGGCCACCACAGGTTATGCCACATATGAATACAATGTCGCAACCAAATGCTATGTTCACTCCAGGTTAGGGTTTGATTGTTTAGTCATCCATTCGTTTATTAATATTTTATAGAAACCCCAACAATTTCATATGGAACATCGCCTATGCAGCCTGTAATGCCAGCATTTCCTGTATATCACACTGCTCCAGCAGGTATGATGGGTAGAAGGCCTTCACAACCGCAGAACGGAGGGAGTGCGCCGAATCTGATACAAGGAAAGCAGTGTGGAAATTGGACTATTCCGCATCAGAATAAGCTCAAATATAGCCAACAGTTTAATCAACACGACAAGGTCAGTGTACAGTTTTTGTTTTTTTCTGTCTCCATCTATTTTCTGTTCTTAATAGCTAATACTATATCTCCAACATATTTGTCTCTGTCTTACGCACTTTTCAAAAACTGCGTTCTAAATTCTTTACCCTCGGATATCTAACTTAATGCAAAAGGGAATTTGTTTTTGTCGAGTCATGGTCTTGATCTCCAATGACCGAAGAAAAGGATCTTATAGAAATCTATGATCCTTATCCGCAGTTTCATTGAGCAGAATTCTTTCTAGTTACCAATTGCTTGACATCAATTTTGAGTAATTATCCTCGTGGTCGACTTATAGCTGTCATAAGAGTCAATAGATTTGAAAAGCTCGAGTGGTTGCATTCTTCTGTTTCGATCCCTACGAAACGTTCTTTTTTTTGCGGGAAACTTTGGGAAGGCGATTTTAGGGCATAATGAAGTTTATCTTCACCCTAATTTTTGTGTCAAACATTTTTCTGAAAACATTTTCATATTTGGAGTGATATCTGGATTTTGAGTTTTTTCTGACCTTTACATCAAAATATCGAATTTCAGCAGCGTGTTGGATTTCTCACGGGTCAAGCGGGACGCAGCGCTCTTGGTATGAGCGGCCTTCCGACAACTGCGCTCGCTCTTATATGGACGCTTTCCGATGTTAATAAAGATGGAAAACTCAATGTGGACGAGTTCTGCATAGCAATGCATTTGATAGATATGTTCAAGGTGGACATATTGCAATTGAGCTAGCACATCTTTCTGAAATTCATTAAATTTGGCAATTACAGGCCGGCTATGCGTTACCTGATCAAACTCCTCCTGAGTTGGTGCAAATGTGCGGGATGTCGAGATCAG